ATACTTCTTCTCTGTCTCGCTATTGTACTACACAATACTCTCTCTCTCTCTCTCTCTCTCTCTCTCTCTCTCTCTCTCTCTCTCTCATTGAAAGCACAAATCTCTCTCTCTCTCTCTCTCACTCTAATTGAAAGCACAAATCTCTCTCTCTCACTCACTCTAATTGAAAGCACAAATATCTCTCTTTCTCTGTAATTGAATGCACGACTTCTAATGCCCAAAACAAATTCGACCTTGTAAATATCAAATTCTTCATAAAAAGCGACCGTTGCACTACCCTAAAATTTCCACGGTTTTGTTTCCAAATTTGGTAGAGAGAGAAAGATGGAGAGAGAGAGTAATTTGGCAAACAAAAAATCTAAATGAATTCCAGGTTAAAACCCAGTGTGCGTCTGAGAGAGAGAGAATTTGGGAAAGAAGAACTTATATGAATTCCAATCTGAAACCCAATGCATGTAACATGAAGTGCCCAAACAAAAGAACTCAACAAGACTTATCATACAATAAATAGTAAAGAAGTCCAGCATTAGAGTTCTAAAGAAATGACTTGCCTGCAAATTCATGCCACGAGTAGAGAAGAAAGTGCAGGAAGTTCAGGCTCAACCCAAGATCCGTTCTAACAAAATTTCCACTTTAGGAAAGAATATGTCAACCTCAAGCTGCTTTTTCTGCTCTGTCAACTTAGGACTAACACTTCTTTCAAGAATTCTACAACACTTACCAAATTTGGTAAAAAAATGGGCAAATCATTATACAACAATTCACTTAGTCTATCTGTATTATTTACCCATGCTTAGTTCTCCCACAAGAAGGCACCTTCTTGCCGGAATCCGGCATCCACGCTAGGCAGAAACCATCCAGGAGAAAACAACACATTGCTTGAGATGTCATGAAATGCCAATTCTTCATCACACAGACCTAAATATGGGGAAACTGTTGCGAAATTTGCAGCTGGACTTTGCTGCTGGAAAGTGTTCTCTGATGAATGGAAAGCATTTTCTGGCGAAGAGTTCTCAGGAGATAAAGGGATGTTGGGCAGGTCTCCAAAAATATCCTCTTCAACGAGCAGCGGCATGGCTGCGGAGACTGGAGTCGAAACCATGCTATCGGTCATCCCTGGAAAGTTCTCTGATAGTCGGAAGATATCCTCCGAGGATATTACGACATTATCCGGTGAGGAAGGTATGTCGGGTAAGCCCATAAATATTGCCTCCTCTTCATCTAGTATCTGAGCAACTCTCGACGCGGCATTGTGTATATTCTCCATGGACCCTGTAGAGTTTTCCTCAAATCGGATGGTGTTTTCTACTGTCGAATTTTCCGGTGAAGAGGCCAGCATTCCCGAAGAATTCAGAGCTTTGGATGGAGAGACCGGAAAACTAGAAGAAGCAGCTTTTGCAGCAGCTGCCTGAATGTCCCTAGGGGAGGCGGATGCTGGGCGGGGAAGTTCGGCGGCAAGCTCCGGGAAATTGAGGAATGCGGAGCGGCCCTTAATGGTGAGGGCAGCCACATCGTGGGCTCGAGCGGCCATTTCCGGGGTTGGAAAGGTCCCAAGCCAAATCCTCGACTTTTTTCGGGGCTCTCTAATCTCCGACACCCACCTCCCCCAGTTCCGCATGCGTACACCTCTATACACAGGGTGCTTCCCGCCATCGGCATTCGTACGCCGGGATTTTTTCGACGGCTCATCGGAGTCCGCAGCCTCAGACGTAGGGGCACTAGTTGAAATTTTTGAATTTTGGCTAAATTCAAGGGTTTTAGGGGAGGAGGAGGCACTTGCACTTGAGGAGGAAGAGGTGGTGGTGGTGGTGGTGGTGGTGGTGGAGGAAGAGAGAGAGGAAGAGGGGGTTAACTCACTTTTGGAGGAGGGTAGAGGTGCCATGATTGAGGGGGAGTTGGTATTGTAGGGGGAGAATGAGGATGGTAGGGGTGCATATAATAGAGAGAGTGCCTTTTTATTCAATCACATTCCAATGAAGGGAAACTAAAGGAATTGGGGCCTTGGGTCCCTCTTTGGTTCCTTCATCATTTCCTTTGTCCTTCTAAACTCAACTTCTATGGGCTTAGCAAGCATTTCTCTCAATCTCTCTCTTGGTCCCTAGGGATCCAATGCCCTTCAAATCTCTCTCTCTCTCTTTCTATATATATATATATATGACATTCTCTCTCTCTCTTAGACAAGTACTCTCCCTCTCCCTCTCTCTCTTGAACATGTATTCTCTCTCTCTGACCTGCATTTTAAGAGAGAGATCATTCATTTTGCACCAAGTTATTGTGCTTTGAGAGAGGAGTTGCTTTTCACTGGAAATGGAATGTTTTTACCTCTTTCCATTTTGCTAGCAATTTGAGCTCTTGTTTCTTAATACTTTCTTTATTTATGAGATTGAAAGAGGGAGAGAGAGTTCTTAATACTTTCCTTGTCTATGAGAGAGAGAGAGAGAGAGGTACTTTCTTTATCTATGAGATAGAGAGAGAGAGGGACTTTCTTTACCTGTGAGAGAGAGGTCTTTTGCCCCTCATTCTTCATCTTTAATGAAAGAAAAGATAAAAGAGAAGAAAAGGAAAACAAATCTATCTTTTTACAGCCTCATGGGACCCAGGTCATATGTCAATGAGAACCTCACCTTGTCAGGGGGCATTTTTCATGTGTACAAGGAATTGGGAGGCCCCACGGTCCCCCACCAAGGCAAGTACACCTTGGCTCTGGCTTGCTTAAGAAGCTCTCTCTCTCTCT